CTGTGGATAGCACTTAATTTCGTTGTGAGTTACACAGTGAAAATAAAGATATTTCATTCTATTCTAATTAACAGTCGTAAGTTGTGGCAGTTGTTAAGCAGGTTACCAGTACTTGACTTTGCCCAATTTCGCAACCTTCTTTACAGCAGTTAAGCAAATGCAGCAGTTGTTCAGCAAACCCATTGTGCCCAATGGGCTTTTTTTTTTTTTTGCCACAATCTAGAAGTAAACACGGTTTTCTCACAAAATGTCAACTCGTCATGTGACCACAGGGTGCTGCAAACAGCCACAAATGTGGATCAGTTGCCAGGTGTGCCAAATGAAATCACATGACCATGGTGGGTGACCATTGGAACTTTGAAACTGGATTGTAGGTAGCTCTGGGGAGATCTGCCTAATTTCATATGGTTGCTAAGCGATTGGCCATAAGTCAAGGATTACTTGTAAACTTAAGTGGGTAGGCATTTCTATTGAGGTTTATTACAGTTATGCTATTCTCAAAGTCTCATACTGTGTTTTCTAGCATCGTATGACATTTAATTGAAAGTGTTTGGTTATGGGTTTTAATGTGTGACAGGAAGATGTAAATCTCTTTATATCCTCTTAAAGAGTATTTTTTTTAAAAAAAAAAATTCAGGTTATCATCAGCTGTGTCATACACCAAATATCGGTTCTAATGTGATAGATTCAGATGATAAGTGGCTCTGCCGGCAGTGTGTCTTTGCAACAACAACGAAAGTAAGTTGATTACTTAAAAAAGCAATTGCAGTTGAAAATAGATTTTTTTTTATACGGTGTCGGATACTAACTTTTTCTGGTTTAATGCATTTTATTTTAGAGAGGTGGTGCGCTTAAGAAAGGACCAAATGCTAAAGCACTGCAAGTCATGAAGCAAACATTGCCTTACAATGTAGCTGACCTTGAATGGGATGCAGGCCATAAAACAAATGCCCAACAGTGTTATTGCTACTGTGGAGGTCCTGGAGAGTAAGCAGTTGACCCACGCTTATGAAAATATTTGTTCGGGTTTTTTCTATGTTCTCTATTTGTCGAGAGTATGTGTGAGACCAAGTGTTATGTTTCATAAGTATGCCGTAAAACAGCTTTATTGAGCATATTCTAACATAGCATCAGGCTCTCGGAATACTTTCGATTCCTGAGGTTTTGACGTTTGTATGAAAAAGAATTAGTTAAACTGTAGTCTTGGACCAAGTTTCAGTGAATAAATTTGCTAGTTGATTGGTTTAAGACAGTGGTGGCGAACCTATGGCACGGGTGCCAGAGGCGGCACTCAGAGCCCTCTCTGTGGGCACGCGCGCTGTAACCCCAGTCCTAGGCCTTCAGCTGGGTTTTATAAAACCTTTTCGCTTTAGGCCTCCGCCGCCGTGTGCAAAAAAAAAAAAGGTTCAATCAATCAGTCAATTTCAACTTCTCGCGGGGAAAAAAAAGATCTTGCAAAGTTGGAATTGATTGATTGAACTTTTTAGTCCCACCCAGTCTGCCATTACCACTGCAGCCATGCCCACCCAATGGGCCACGCCCACCCAATGGGTCACGCCCAACCAATTGGCCACACCCAGCCAATGGGCCATACCCACCCGGCACTTGACGATGCATAAGTGGGTTTGGGGTTGCAGTTTGGGCACTCAGTCTCTAAAAGATTCGCCATCATTGTTTTAAGACATTGTGCTAAAGCATATCAGTGTTTGATTTTGGTTTAGCTTCTTGTATAAACTCTGCCTTTGTGTTATATTTAATAAACATGAAGTCTGCAAAATGCAGAAGTGTCAATGAATGCATAGTGACCAGTTAAATCTTCAGGAGCAACTCTCATATAACTACTAGTAGTGTAGATTTCGTTTTATTTTTATTTTTTAAAGCAGCCAATTTAAGAAATGCTAACTGAGCCTAACTTGAAATAGGATGACACTCCGTTTTGGTCTTAAGTTCATGGGTCAGAAAACTGCCCACCCGACAACTTTCTTGCCTGTAGTCTGGGAATTTTTATTTTTATATGACATAATCTGTTACATGTATAAAATGATTTTATGAGTTCTAAAATTCATAGTCATGTAACCGCGTGCAATGCTTTTCTGCTAGATTGGGTATTTACTGCATGACGATCTTTGTTTTTTCTTACCGTTAATGAAGCTGGTATTTGAAGATGCTGCAGTGCTGCAAATGTAAGCAATGGTTCCACGAGGCTTGTGTGCAGTGCCTGCAAAAGCCAATGCTGTATGGCGACAGGTAAGATGCTTTACCTTTGATCTTCTGTTGTGTGTTTAGGTATCCCCTTTGGGAAGGGCAGTACTCAGTACTGTGTTCAAACATAGGTTCTCCATGGCTGTAACTGTGATATTTACATTGATGCATTAATAAATAAATATGCTACTATTTCAGTGCATTGTTCTTTCTATTTATGGTCTTCCCTGAGTCAAGTTTTATCAAGGGGTAAAAACATTTTTTTTAAAAACTGATAAGAACATGGACCCAGGTTTTTCACTATTTGTTTGAAAGTGATCTTTTATTCAACACTTATTGATACGTTTTAACTGAAAACAGTTTTGTTTTTTGTAACCCTGAATACCTTGTAAAATGAATTGCTGTCAGTACGATTTAAAAGCATATATGTTCGTGCACTTAATATGCTTTTTAAACTTTTTTTTGAAGGTTTTATACATTCATTTGTTCAGTTTGTAGTTCTGGACCAGAATACCTCAAACGTTTACCCTTGCAGTGGTAAGTACAACCTAAATCAATCTCGGGCAGAAATATTCACCCTCTCTGTAAAGATAGTTTTGTGCTTTTCGTTATTTGAATGGATATTGCACAAGTAATTAAAAATGTGGATATATTACTTTTATGTCACCATGTTTCTCCGAAAACAAGACCTATCCCGAAAATACGCCCTAGCTTGAAATTTATGTCTATGCCTAATATAAACCCTACCCCCAAAATAAACCCTAGTTTTGGGGCAAGGCGCACATGTAAAAATCAAGCAAGGGTGTGGGGGGGTGGAGCAGCCCCACATGCCTTGCACCCGTTTACATTAGGACTGCCTGTTGCGCTGCTGCCCGAGTTCTGCGGCC